TATGGCTCAGCATTGTTCGTAGGAGCATAGCACTGTATGATTGTGATCTTTTGAATTTTAGCGTTAATTCTGGCTGTAATAATGCGATCATCAATCGGTCCCCATTCCATCAAGCACTTTTTCGTGTGCCCTGACAATACGATACCGACCCCTCTCTCATGGACATCATCTTTGTTCCCTTTCCTCGAGTATATGAAAAGCTCTCCTGTTGCCAACTCAGTTTCCCCGAATTGGTTCCACCTAGCTTCACTGACTCCCAAGATTTCCAGTCTATAACGTCTCATCTCAGCGGCCAGGAGAGCTACCTTTCCAGACTCGTATAGAGTTCGCACATTCCATTGTCCTATCCAGGTTCTGAATTTCGGAGAGAACAGCTTCATCCGGTTTTAACGATCCCTGCTCGATCTCTACTGGTAATAGAGACCCGGCAAAGTTTTCCATAGTTTTGGTTTCAGTAACCCAATGAATCCACCACATAGGGGGTTAGCCTTCGTAGCTTCACCAGCGCTCCGTTAGCCGCCCCGTTTCAGGGTCCCAGTCAGGCCTTCACGGTTACCGTAGCGGCCCTGAGGAATGAGGCTTTCCCACCGTACTTCACCCTGACTGGCGCTCCCCTACTTTAGGACGTTGCCCAGGGTGTACGACAGGGACGTGGAGCTGGACTTTACACCCCATCGTGAGTAGTGATAAGTTAATAAAGAATTCAACGATCTTTTTATTGTGTTTCAAGCGCAAAATAGGTCCGTGAGTTTGTTTCTGTTTAAAATCAGTAACAAATCACTAGATAGTGTTATCTTAGCTGGCTTACTTAAGCAAAACANGTCTATAACGTCTATAACGTCTATAACATCTATAACAATGCAGTTGGTCAATTGTGAGGTTTTTTTTAAAAATAGTTTTGTTGTAAGGCTGGGGAACATTTTCAGCACCGCTGACTGAAAAACACTATTCACTTGCCTCTGAAGATGACTTCCACTCAGCTGGTTGTCAAAACGTCAGTCACCAACAACAGTTCTTTTCAGAACTGAACACACCCAGACGATCAATCTAGATGAAGTACTGATACTTAGTTGTTAATGTTTTGTAGATGGGGCCGCTCTGAAGAAGGTGTTGATTACTGGGTATGATTTTCTGTGTCCTTATTTGGACTTCTTACTTGGACCAACAGTTTTACTATTCATTGACTCTTTCATGTCGCTTTATTGTAAGTCCTTTAGTATCGTTATTCCATTGTACTTCTCTAGGTATTTTAATGCTTAATAACTTTTCAAGCATCAGTAAAGACTAGTTTTTATACATAAAGTGAGTTTGCCTTCTTGGGCACTAATTTGTCAGATGAAGAGTCCGACGTTTCGGCACTACTGCTGTCCTTGCACACCTGAAAAACTTGACACCTTTTTTACGCTGATGAAAGCAGTAATGCCGACATATCGCACTTTTCACAAGACATTTTAGTACCAAAAAGACAAACTTTACTTTAGTATCTGTTATGGTGCTACGTAGTTTTCCGTTTATTCTACTTTCGAAGAATAACTGTTATTATTATTTAGCTCTTATTAACCGAGCAGGAGGTCTGTATGACTTAACTCGGTTAATAAGATGTTTATTATATGGCAAAGAAGAAAACTTTTATTCGTTTAATGTAACTGGTTTGCTGACATTTTGCTTGCAAACGGAGATGAGCTTAACGTAAACCTGCCGGAATGTGCTTGTCCTCTTTACTTGTTTTTTTTGTCATCAGGCTTTTTGGCACTTCCATAAATGATTGAGAAGAAAGTAAAAGAAAACGGTGAACATTTTTGTATTTTAGTTTGCTACAATTTCAACGCAAAATGAAACCAATCTAGACGCCGGTCTAGATGCCTACAAATTTTTATGTAAACTAGATTACATCTTACATTGTAAATTTTTTTTTTTTAATTCTTATTTTGTAATTATTCTTTATTGTTTATTTATACACGACCCCACAAGCTGCAAGCTTAATTACTTATCGTGTTTAAATAAAGGTTACTTACTTACTTACTTACTTACCGGTCTAGATGGGAAAATCTAGACCGCGGTCAATATCGATATCAGCCAATCAAATTCGTGAATTCGGTAGTTCCCAGTCCTTGTGAGACACAGCCATATAATAATTAGAAAAATCTAGGGGACGTTCTTGCATGCGGCCTTTCAATTATGATTGGTTCTTTAATCACTAAGAGCCACTCGTAGTACTGCAGTATATAGTACTGTGTATATGCAGTCATTGCCATTATTGTGGCATCGCACATGCAAATTAAGCAATAAAATAAAACAAAAAATAGCTTGGTGGCATCTTTGCATTCCCAATGCTTATTGTAAGCTGGACATTAGCTACTGTAGGTGGCCATCTTTCCTTTACAACTCTAGTGGCTACTTACAAGAACCTATTCTCATAAGCAGCCAGCTCCAGTTATGGACAGCTTTTTTGCGTCCTAAGGGTGTCTGCTTATGAGGGCTTCCACTGCATTATTTAATCAAGTATTTTTGTTTGTGCACTATTGGTCTAAATGCATCACATGATTCCATTTGCTCAATTTCCCCAAGTTTCAAAACTGCGGCCCGTGTTGCAGAAAAAATTTGAAGTATAATGGACACAATAGCCTCCATTTGGTGTAAAAATATGCTTGGATTAATGTTCTCAAAGCTCCCAGTGTTCACTTCTCAGAAGAGATAATGTCCATGCCATTGGATAAATATCCAAGGCCGCAAGCATATTATTTGTTTTGCCAAATGAAGGGTATTATTTTTAAACTGTTCACTTCCCTGAACAGATAATGTCAGTGGATAAACTTATATCCAAGCATATTATTTGTTACGCCAAATGAAGACTATTCTTTTTATACATGTTTATTGCTGTGTTATAGGGAGATTGTGGAAGTTGCTGGGCATTTGGAGCTTCAGGTGGGTGAAATAATATGTCAACTAAGTGTAAAATACATGTATACTTGAAATTGCCAGCAACAGAATTTGTGACAAATTCATCCTGGTGACTGTTACCAACACCTGCTTATTCTGAAAACACTGATGTCCTGATTACATGCATGCTATTTTTCGTTTGTAGGCCATGTTCAATATATCAATATTCTAACATGGCTCCGAGGCTTTCGGGGCACATGTCTATATGTGGAGTTGTTTTCTTTGTATCCAAGTGTCTTTTGGGAATTGAGAAACAAAAGAACATTAAAAGAATTACAATTCTGACCTGAAAGCCTCATAGCCATGTTAGAATTGCTACTAGCAGTCATCATCATCATCATCATTATACTTCTAACACTTCAGGATGGTATGTAAGGGCGCATGCCAACTCTTTTCACCTTGCATGGTCTTTCCCCATATTTTCAATCTGCGTCCACAAGGCAAAGCCAAGTCTGCACCATTCACTCTCAACCATTCGATGCCAAGTTGTCTTGAGTGTACCTCTTCTTCTTCTACCTTCAGGGCTCCATGTGAAAGACACCTTAGCATTGTTGATATTCTCAGGGCCTAGAACACGGCATAACCATCTCCACTGCTTATCTGTAATCATGTCAGAAACAGGCATCATCCCAACTTCTGTAAATCTTTGTTTGTAATCTTTTCTGACCAAAAGATTAAAAAAACTTTCCTTAAGCACCTCCTCTGGAATCTGTCCAACTGGCAGGCATCATGTTCAGTCATCTTCCATGTTTCTGTGCCATATAAAGTAGAACAGCTAGGACGTTAGCATTGAGGATTTTAAGTGTGGTCTTGTAGCGGTAAGCTGTTGAATTCCATACTGGTTTGAGCTTTACAAAGGCACCTCTACCGAGGGATAGCCTCCTGCTGATATTTGTCTCTGTTCTGCTGGATCCTCTCCTCTCAGAACTAAAGTAGACAAATTTGTCCACATCCTCCAAGGGTGTTCCATTATAAAGATTTGATGCTGAGACTTACTATTGAGCCTCATGATCTTGGTTTTCTTAGTGTTGAATTCTAATCCAGTGAAACTTGCAACAGCTTGTAACCTTCCTGATTTCTACTGCATATGAGCGCAGTTACAGACTAGTAATGTGACGTCACCTAAGACCTCTGCATCTGTGTTAATGTGTTTGTGTTACTGTCTTAAGGTGTTTGTCATCAACCAGTCTACTGCCACAATAAACAAAAAGCCTGACATGATGCAGTCCCGAGGAATGTCAGTTTTGACATCAAACCAGTCTGACATCTTACCATTATCAATGACATTACAGCAGCTGTCCTCATACATTGCTCTGATCAAATCTACAAACTCACTTGGTATCCCATAATGTCCCAGAATCTTCCATAATCTGCTACAATCCAAGCTGTCAAACACCTTTGTAAAATCCAGAAAGTTGATGTACAGTGGTGTTTGCCACTCGATGGACTGTTTAATGATGTTTCTGAGGATAAACACATGCCCAATAGGTCCTCTCCCTTCCCAAAATCCAGCTTGCTCACATCTCAACTTTGGGTCAATGCCCTCTTTGATATGTTCAATAACCAGCCCACGAAGAACCTTACTTGGTACAGAGAGTAAGGAGATTCCCCTGGGATTGTCGCATTTAGTCAAATCACCCTTCTTCGGTACTTAAACAATCATAGCCTTTGTTCAATCATCTTGCACCTTCATGTTCTCACGTATATGCTCAAACAATGTACGGTTTACCCAAATAGGCCTTTTGCAGCAGTTGGTCAAGTGACCGATAATTTCTAAACGTTTTGCTACAGCTACATAAATTTCAGAACTGGAAAGAGCATGATTAAATGGTGAGCACACTAATTTTTAGATCAACGCTATGTAAGGTTGACGATTTGAATATTGCAAAAATAAGAAGGTTTTGCATGGAAGCAAGGACGCTTTGCCCTCCAGAAGACCTTATTAATTAATTAGTTATTTCCAGTATTGATCACTACAAAAGGGAGCTGCTTTTATAGAACAGTTGGAGATAGTATGGGGAAATGTTAGGAAGAATTAAAAATTCCAGGCACTAAACTGAAAGGCAGAGATTTTATATATGGCAGTTCGAAAAACTTGGAAAATTACAAGGATTAATTTGTATGGAAAACCCTGGAGTATGACTGGAGGGAAATGCATCCTCTTCTCATTCTAATCCTTTTATTTCTAACTTCCATAAAAATTTCCTCTTAAAGGATATGAACCTAAAAAGTTGCATGTACATATGTAAGCTTTGTAAATGTTCTTTCCATTTCTGATAACATTTATGCATCACCAATGACTAAATCAGTGTGTTCTTGAAAAGGATGTCACATGACCAACTGTTGCAAAAAGAATGTTGAACACAAGCAAAAAGTGACTGATATAGGTTGAAAGATCAATAACTTAGATGCACTATTTGGTTTGCAGAAGCATTGTCTGACAGATTTGCTATTGTCAGTAACAATGTAATTGATGTGGTGTTGTCGGCACAGCAGCTTGTTGACTGTGATACAAGAAATGACGGTTGTGAAGGTGGCTGGCCGTTATTGGCATGGGATTACATGAAGGAAGTTGGGTGGGTTTCATACAGGGATTTTACATTTATTGCATAGTAACTATAAAACCCTGCGACAATATGGAAAAACTTAAAACCATTTTGGTTTAAAAACAACGACAACATTTCCATGTTCACTTAACATCACTGTCAAGTCAACTGAGTGAATAAAATGGGTTCAAATTTAAATATAAACAAAGAATTCCTAAGAGACACGAATGTAAAGAAAACAATGATAAAAAAATTGATAAAAAAATTCTGAAAAGTGCTAAAACATATATAACATAAAATATTTACATGCAAAGAGTCACGTAAAAAGTTTGGCATGAATTGAGTCTTTCTGTGTAATCAACACAGGGCTCAAATTGAGCCCTGTGTTGTCATTTTTAAACCAAAATGGTTTTAAGTTTTTCCATATTGTCGCAGTGTTTTATAGTTAAATTTTCAAGAAAATCTCTTCCATTGCATAGTAATCAATGTCTAATAAACAATAATGCAAATCATATTTTTCTACATGATTATATGAGGTCGATTATACTTGTATGAATATCGTGTCTCCCTTACAGGGTGAACAAATTGACCAGCTGTACAAATTACAAATTAAACCATGCAAAATATACTTTCTGCAGTGCTGTTTTGGTTTACATGTGTGAAGGAGACTGCTTGATTAATAATTATTTTCATCCTATAATTGAAACACAGTCTATAGGTGAAAGGAAGAGGGTTGTCCAATATGCTCAAATGGAGTCCAATGGAATGGCACTCAAGCCATCGGTATTCCATTGGTGAAATGCATCTCACTGTGGGGACTTAGAATATTAAGTGTTAATGAGATGCAGTTTACAAATGGTTCACCAATCAACTGAGGAGCTTTTCATTTGTACCAATGGTATGAACTGTGAGCCTTCTTTGATGAACAGTGATCATTTACCAATGGTACAATTGGTGAGGGTGTTTTGACGATTGGTATCTGTTCGTGTATATTGGACATGCGTGGAGGGAAAGGAACATCCCATATATGAGTAAGAAAATTACCATTAGTTGTAAGCTTAAATCATAACAGCCAGTTATTAATCATATTTCAAGACATTTCATTGAATACTTTTATCTGAGATACTGAATTTGCAGTTAATGAAATACCATATGCAGAGTACGACATTGGTGCAAACATTTCACCCTAAAGCCAATTTAAATTCCCACTTGTTGTGTGTGGTTTGTTGGAAAATCAAAACAATTACTTTGGTTGGGGTGCACAAAACCTAAATGACTGTAACAAATGCCCAAGTTTCCATTTATGACGATAAGAATTCTTGCCAAAGATTGCCCAGGTAAATTAATGTCCAAAAAACTATTTGAATGATCCAAAGTTCAACTATGTATTTATGTTGATATGTGGTTTGATAAAGCATCACGTACATTTAGTGCCTTGGATAATCCTTTCAGGGTTCTTTGTAATTGTTTATTAAGTTTTACATGTAAAATCATTATAACTGTGAGGATCATATCTTCACCTGTGTCTTAATTCGTCTTTTTGTTTTTGATTACCAGCCTTTTGACTGTGGATTGTTATGGTCCATATACAGCAAAAGATGGAGTATGCAAATTTAATGGCACAGTGACATCTCAGTGCCCTAGTGGTTCTGGAGTGCCAAGGGCTTACCACACAAAAAATGCATATGCTGTGGCCCCAACTGTAAGTACTCTCCTTCAAAATTACTTATTTTATTTCTTATATATTTGTCTATTTCTTCAGTTATATCACCATCATCATCGCCATTTATTTGCCACATAAATAATAACAAAAGGTATTGACAATACTCAAAAAGCAGCGAGGAGACCTCCAAAAAAAAAGTATCATAGTAAATGGTTTGAACCCAGGAGTATCAGTAGTTCGTATAGTTGATCATCTGGGTGAGTGTAGTTCTGGAAAGAACTGTTGTTGGTGACTGACGTTTCGACAACCTGAGTGGAAGTCATCTTCAGAGTCAAGTGAATAGTGTTTGTCAGGCGATATATCAACCACACAACCGAGAGAGGTGCAATCAAATAGAATTACCTTGAACCAGTGACCTGAAGACTGAGCACCACTTAAAACAGTCATAAATTAGCCTACGAGTAGTCCCTCTTTCACTTAGTGCATCGTGCGTGACGCAAAAGAAAACCGCTAGAAAAAAATGGCCGTGTGAAATCCTGGAGGCAAGGAGCGCGCAAAAGGATTTCGGATGGCCATTTTTTTCCTTGCGGTTTTCTTTCGCATCACGCACAGTGGACTAAGTGAAAGAGGGACTACTCATAGTCTAGTCATAAATAAATTTTAGATCCTTTAATTACAGGTCTTGAGCTATGAAAATAATTTGTGTAATTATTTCATTTAAAAGAATGTATAGAGATTCTGTGCACACATAATTACACATTACCCAGTGTATTACTATTAATTGTAAAACTGTAGTTTTATTAGTGTTATAATTGTTGACTGAAAGGTGACTCACAATGGTTTCCAGCATTTTTCAGTATTGCATCTTTGATGAATCAATACCACCATTCTTTTTCAGTTGATGCTAGTTTGATAATGGTATCAAACAAATGTCAAAACATTGGTAAACAAGTCATGATTTTTGCTTTAAGTGCAAAAAACTCAAAAAATAGAATCTGGTGACCCCAGGTTTTTTACTACTGGATTGCAATCAGCTTATAATTTTTAAAAGTTAATAAAACAGTCCTGGGAGTGGGTTCAGAGCCGCCTTAAATTTGTGAAAAATTACTGAAAACTGTTGTTAGCCACAGCAAAATCCATAACTAATATCGTAACAGTTCATTTCATTTTATACATTTTAACTCTATGTCATGTTTATGTGATTATTTATTGATTTGTTTTTGGTAGCCAGTAATAGCTATTTACAAGTATCTTTGATTTTTATTCTATCCCCCCCCCCCTTCCCTATTTAAGCTAAGTATTGGTGCAGTGTATATTAACTACAATCATGGACCAAAGTCTTGGAACAAATTTGCACTTTTTACGCTTTTGTACACACGCCAGACATGAATAAAACTTCACCTGCCTAGCCTCTCCCCTCTCCCCTTATACAATATTGAAAACTAGTACCTGCAATTTTTCCTGAGATTCAACATTGCATTGGGTTCGGGAGAGGGAACAGCAACACGTTTTTAAAAGGATAGCAGTGCTTTTTCAAACTTCATTTGTAAAACACAGGTAATTCGTTAGATTACGTAAGTGTCCCAAGGCAAACTGACCCCAACATTTCCCTCAAGTGGCTTAGGGGTTTGGGAAACATATTAAGCTTATTCACACACAGTTGAATTGCAACTTAGCAAAGGTGTTATTTGTCTTTTTGAGGTGGAAGCTATTCAGACTGAAATCATGACAAATGGACCTGTTGAAGGTATGATGTTGTGATACAAGTTATCACTTTGTTGTACTGGATGTGAAGAGTAAATCACCACAGGTGTTTAATCGAAATGTGCTGGACAAAATGTTCAGAATGTTTTTATAATGTTGTCTTTCATGGAATTCATTGTTAAAATATTATAATTGTGAAAATCAACTTTATTAACATGTGTGTGTAGTTATTTGTTTCCTTTGTGGAAGGCCTTGTGGCCTGGTGCTTAGTGTATTGGATTTGGATTGAGAGATATGTTGTGTTGATGATATTAAACCTTTCTTTGTGAATGGTATGTGATTAGGTTGCAGTAAATTAGTGTCCCAAATTGCTGGAAGGTTATCTGTGATCCTTTGGATTATAACAGATGTGATCCCTTTTCTCAATAAAAGTTTTACTTTTTTTCTATTCCATTTGTTTTTATCTTCTTTTTGTTATATTTTCTGGTTGTGTCAAGGTGTTTGGTTATAAGGGGCACTTCCCATTCAACGGGAAATTCCAGTTTGAATTTCCAGAAAAATTTCCGGTGGCGAATGGAACAGCACTATTTTTCGTAATCTGGAAAAGAGTATAACCTGCTCGTTTCTGGATTACTTGCCGAGAATTTTCGTTCCATTTGATTTTTCCTCCTGAATTTCAAAATGATTTTCTGTTGAATGGTTCACATTTGGGAAATTCAACAATCTTGGAACTTTCCGGAAACATCACGAGGAATTGTTTTTGTACCATTTGTCTCCCTCTTGATAAATTCGCAATTTTGGTTGAATGGATTAAGCGCCCAATGTTTTTAAATTGTCTGAATAATCTTTCTCTTTATTTCAGCGGATTTCACGGTGTATCAAGACTTTTTTAATTATCAGGGTGGTGTGTATTCACACACAACTGGTGGTGCAGTTGGCGGTCATGCCATTAAGATGCTGGGGTTTGTTTCTGTTTTTCTGTTTTGTTCATTTAACCTTGTGTTGCAGAATTTACATCACACACATACATGTACACATTGATATAGTCAACTGTGAAAAGTTGGACAATTATTTTGTGATCAGGTGAACACTTTCAAGAGAAATTTGCTTCATCTTTTTAATACTAAGTAGCTTACAGTGTCTGTGACTGTCTGTCTAACGACTGCCATAATTTTATTAATCTTATGGCGTTAAACAAGATATCGACCGCCATAGAATACACTTCCTTACGTGTAATTTAACATCTAATAATTACATTAGGCCATCTTCGCTCCTAAAGGGGAGCATAGGGCGTCAACCATGGATCTCCACCTAACTCTGTTACTGGCAGTTCGCTTTGCCTCTATCCACGTGAACTTATTCTTGGCGAGCTCAGCTATCACACTTCGCCTCCAGGATTGCTTTGGGCGACCTCTTCTTNCGCATTTTACATGTGCCGAATCTAATTCATAAATTATGTTAAATTATATTTTGCCCATAACTCCACAGTTTTGTGCTGCATGGCATGCGCACAACAAGCTGAAGGGAATTTTTCGCGGCAGTTGCAGCAGGAGATGTATCACGTAGAAGGAAGGCTGCTGAAGATGCCAATATGTGTGGTTCTTGCTTCGCTCCGATCGTGTAATGTAGTTATGCAAAACCAATTAAGCTTAAGTTTCGGCATTCAAGTAAAAACCGCTCTGTGCTACATGACATGCGGAGCAGGAAAGCAATATGGCCACTGTTGAGTGTAATAGTGTGTGCGGTGGTTCTTACTTCTCTTCTGCAAAGTTATGTCGAAGATGGAGAACGAAGTCTATGAACTTGAATTTGATCAGGAGAGTGAAACGAAAAGCAGAGTTTAAAAGGTAATGCACTGCTATCTGCATTATAAATCGCCCCATTTTGTTTGCTCGAATGGTGTTTGGAAGGTATGAATGGTCTTAACGCAAAATGTGCTCCTTACCATTGTTAGCCGCTTTGGTGGGAAACTTGTAGCGGAGTCAGCTGGGAATGAACACGTCGCTAGCGCTCAGTAATTTTATTCGACAAAAAATGCGACGTTTAAATCAAATCAGCCGAACTTATTAATTCGAGTCGACTAAAATTAGTATTTGATTCGGCACATGTAATGTGCGACGTTTAAACCGTGCCTTATATTTTTAATCACGTTTAAATTACGTGAGATTAATGTTCATTAATTGTCGTTGTAGATTTGTGCCAATTCGTGGGGACCTAAGTGGGGAATGGATGGTGAGTTCAAGTGCAGATGTTACGGTTAAATTGTAATAAAGATTGCCGAATTCTGCGCACACTCTGATTGGTTAAAAACCATGTTTAATCACAGCTTAAAAATGATGAGAATTTGAGAAAAATAGTTAATAATTATATTAGCATTCCAAAATTCTGTTGTGTTCTTAATTTTTGTCGTGTTTTATGACAGCATAATGAGCCCTGTAAAATACATGGCTATGTCTAAGCCCCCACCCCTCCCGCCCGCCCCCTTCAACGATACGCTGGAGGAATTTGAAATTGAAGGTTTCCTCGAAAACGCATCAAATGTTTTCCGTCCACACTACACCGGAGGAATTCAAAGACGCAACAATCACCGCATGTTTTGGATTTGTGTTTGAGGAAAAACTCGGACGGGGAACTCAAATGATGCACTTCGTTTTCGAAAAGTTCCGTTTTCAAAATGTTTTCCGTCCCCACCAAACGAAAAGCTGGTGTTTCCTCCTGTTTGAAGAGCGTTTACGAAAAGCTCCGTTTTCGTGACGGAGTAGTGTAGACGGTAGGCCTAACCGTAGAATTAAAGCTGCGTTTTCACAGGTGTAGACGCTGTCTTAGGTGAATAGTAATATGTAATGTTTAGAAACAGCGAAGACAGATTCTTTTTGATATTCAAATTGGCCAAGACCTGTTTGGGTCGTTAGTAGCCTTAAATAGATCTCTGTTAGGCGCATTTATAAAATGGCTGACTGTAACGCGAAGTTGTTGTTGTATACTTCGTGTAACTACTGTTGTGAACTCTTTCTTGTTTTATACCTTCAAAACCGCAAAGGAAATACACCTTTTTCTGTAAACCTTTGTTAAATCTATGCATGAACTACGCTAGAAAGCTTAAAACGTAAGCGATCCTCACAAAAAAGCAGAGTTTTAGAGCCGAGTGGACTATTTTTGTATCATGAAACCTTTACTTACTCTGAGAATATAGTGTCTTGTCAAAGAGTCCTGCTCCTTCACACGTACCATTCACTGCACATTCTGTGTGTGAACTGTATATTTATTTATATTATATAAGTTTGCCCTTCGTAATTGTTCTCAATCTTGAAAATTCTTGTACCTTTTTGTTTTATTGCTTCCTTAACATTGTGTTGGCTTTGATATAGTGGCTATATTTCTGCGGCACTGATAACGTTATGAGTTACCTAGTCTTAAAAGTGATGGTTAATGTAATTGTTTGATTTATCAGGGTTTTTCCTGATTCGCCGTGGTACTGATGAGTGTGGTATTGAAAGTGGTGTGACTGCTGGTATCCCAGCTATGTGAAAGCTGGCAAACAGAATTGCTGGCCGTTACTGACTGTGCAGTAGAATTCCAGGAATACAAAACAGAAGCTTAATAGTTTCAATTAGAAGCTAGTAAAGTATAATGTCATAATTTAAAACGTTTTTATATATCTATATAGTTTTATAGTAGCGAAATGCAGTAGAATGCATCTAAGACAGAAGCCATTTATGTTGTTATCGTTTTTATTTTTACATTTTTAGAAATTTCTGTATTTTTTAAGTAATAAGACAATTGACTTGTAAGTAGGTATGCACTGCAAATAAAAGAAATCTTGAATGTTACAGTATTTATTCTGTGTAGCAGGCGCTTCCTTGGCGCATTGTAGAGCTGTGAATTTTCAATTTTAGAGGAGGAAATGTGAATTCCTTCCTGTTTTAGGGCACTGATCATAGATTACGACTCTTTCTCTTTCGGCGCGTAATCTTTTCTGCTTTGATCTCTGAAAGAAATCCATTGTGCTTCAAATAGAAATGAAACAGTATGTGATAAGCTGTGGGAATTTAGAATGTGAGTGTTTGTTTGCTATGCATTCATCTCAGAAGAACCTGGAATACGATGTAGTGATATCGGCGGCGTCGGTTATGCCAAATATTGCAATCTAAGACAATAACTACCTTGACCTTCAGGTGTCGTTTCAGCAGATATATAACGCGCGCTTTGATTGGTTTATTTCTACGAAGGTTTATGCCCGGCTTGCAGCTGGAAATACACTAGAGATTATAATAAACTCATTGACATCTTCAGATATTCCTGGGGAATTTATCAAGGTCTTTGGTACTCCTAATAAACAATTTAACAGCAATGACTACTTAAATACATACGACACAGAAAGGACGAAAAAAAAAAGGAAAAGAGAAGTAAAAACTACGCTGCTCGCTTGAATGACTTGATACTGAACTGAACCCACGGTATGAACTTGAGCTGGGAGTTTGTGTATAATCCGTCAGACCGAAAGGTCCGTATACACACAACTCAGTTCACCATTAGACCGTCTGCCCCATTTTCGCTACCGAAGAAAGAAAAATATCACCATATAGACACTACAGAAAAGCCTTAATCCTACCAGAGAGCTCGGGCCGACAAAATCAGAAGCATTGTGTATTATCTTTTATGCTGCAGATCGATTAAAACTGATTGGACAGCAAAGGTGATTAGTCGAAATGGTTACACTAAGCCTCATGAACTGCTGAATCTACAGTTAAAGAATTTACAACGTGACAAATCTTTTTACAACTTAGGACGACAACTTTTTAAGTGCATTTAAAAATAATTTTCTGCTGTGTTGCTTGTCAGGCTGATAATCGAGTGGAAATTATCCAGCAAATTCAAAAGGTGTTAAGTTTTCACCTCTTCGTTTTTCTCAACCAATTAAATCAAGTTTTCACAATTACTAACTAAGTTTTACTTGAAGGCGTTAATTACAAGTTACCAGAATGCAGATTAGCTTCGAATTGAAAAAACTGATTGGGAATGTTTAACATCAATTCAGTTCAATCGTCCAGAAAGAGCGGACTTGAAATGTTCCATGTGAAGCAACTTTTGTGGCGAGCATCTTTCATACCGATGTCGGAGGTGAGTAAATCACTTTACCTTTTGTTCTTCTTTTAGCTGTGGCAAGGTGTTGTTGGCTGTATTTATTTTTTGAAGGAATATCTTTGTTTTTATCAGGGAACAGAGCTAAAAGACTTTGTATCTTGTCATAGTGAGACGTAAAGAAAAAAGGCTCCATGCCGATGGGAACGAATAACTAGGAAACGGAAGACTCGGTATGGTTCTTCCTTGTTTTGTAGACCAATCCTTGATTGTTTAAAAGAAGGCCTAAAGCTCTATTTTTTCCACAAATTAAATAAAGTTGCTGGTTGCTACAATTTTGATGACATTTAACTTGTGTGTTTTCGTTTAGCTTTGGAAGAAAGGTTCAAGATCAATTGATGTTGTTTTCTGTTTTGTAGCGTCAAGTAAATAACCCGATCAATAAATAACAAGAGGCATATGGTGGCAGTCCTACTCAGGTACTTTATCTTTCATCATTGCCCACTGTTTTCTTACGTAGGTCCCTACTTCAAATTCTCCACCCTAACCCATCTGGATTTGTACTCGGTAATCCCGACTTCAACTCCTCGGCCGAGTCGGTTGTGTAAAGAGCCAACTAGGCAGCCTCCCACCAGCTGGAAGTCTTGATTAATAGTTTGTGTCCTATTTGACATAGGTGTTTAATTAGTTACAGTACTCCAATTTGCGGAGCAGTGCAAATACATTTGTCACTTAAATACTGCCCGATTTATTTATCTGTTGAAGGAGCGAACGAACGAACGAACGAACGAACAAACGAAGGAACGAACGAAAGAATGAATGGAAAGTAGATGGTCTACTTATAGTCAAAGATGAACATTAACTTGACAAATAATTATATGAAAAAGCATAATGCAAAGAGGTTTTGCTAAAGTACCAGTTGAATACGTTTGTCGCTACGACTTTCTTCCTTGTTTGCAACATACGTCTGCACGTATAGCTGATTTCTTACAAACTATGGTCTATCTTCATCTGTGTTAATACCATTTTATCTTCGTATTTTCCTGTTTGAATTCGTGATGAATAAAAGGTTTCCAGTAATCGTAGATTTTTCTTTACAGTTTTCGGACGTGCTGCTTCGTGGTATTCGCAACTTTGTTTGTTAAAAGGACAGTATCACGGCAATTTTGCTGTATTTTTGATCAAAGCAGTGCTAAAATTAGGACTAAACGAACGAACTAAATGAACAAACTAAAGTAACAAACCAAATGAACAAACTAAACGAAAGAATGACACCGCAAATACACAACAGAGAAACATGAACTGAGCCGCTGACAAAATCATGAATTTCGTGGTCAGCTTCCCACTGCTTCCGGCTCCCTTCTTCTTACTGACTAAGACTGACATTAAAATATTAGGCGGTGCCTGAGAAAGAAAAAAAATGCAAATGCTATTCGCCCTAAAACGTTTATACTCGCTAAAACGGCAAAGAACATGCATGGAAATATACAGTTTTTTCATCTGCAAAGAAATCCGTCCATGTTTTCAGTGAATAGCAAGTCTTGTTTGGACGTTTGTGTATCATTAGCTACAAACAACGAATGAGATTCCACTTCCCCGGGATATTTTGTCTTTTTAGGGAGCACTTTAGGAATTGTATTCATCATGTCAAGTTGTTTTTGTTCTTAAACATGCTTGTGCCGGAGATGAATCAACTTCTGCCGTTCAGTTGCCTTTTTGTTTGCGTTACGATAAATGCCATCGCTGACACTTCCTTCCTTGTCATCTGGTTCTTGCCTACATTCAGTCCTTTCTTTAGCCTTTCGTCTAGTTAAGCAATATTGAGCTGCTATAGTCCATGCTACATCAGTGTTTCTGTTACAAGAAGTCCGCTTCTTATTATAGTCTACAGGTGTGGTTTATAACCTGAGTATTTTTCCTAGCTTCCTTTCGGCTGTTCTTGTTATACCTACTTGATTCTGTTCTATTTCTATTTCCTTATTGTTTGATTTCCTGGTTGCTGTGAAAGATGATTCTCGCATTACGCTTTTTCTGGAATATAGATGCCGCCGTTTTCCTACTCTTTCAAGACTGGTTTCTTAACTTGTCGGCTTGGTCAGTTTCTCAACCAGTTTAAGGCCTTGGTCAAAGACTTTTACTGGTAAAAATAATTTATTAGTTATACTTCTAAAGACACAAATGGCAGTGGAACCAAATTTAGCACGCAATCAGGTTTTAACTTCCTTTACATTTTAAGGTAGATTGGACTTTTGACCATTCACATTTTCCATTTATATTTTCTTTTCGAGGAATACAATTCCAAACGTATCAAGGTAGATCATTTAAATTTGCATCGAAAACACTTTTATTGATCAAATACATGTAAAATTCCCCTAAATTTTTAACAAAATGATCGCGTGACACGTCACGTGATCATACCGATTCAAAATAATAAGTTAAGGCAAGAGAAAAAAGTTTGAGCTTGGTAAGAAAAACATAACAAAAGACATAGCTACACAACTATAATTCCCCCTCACATTCCTGACCCAGGCGATTGCCTGAGTCGTTGGTAGCTCTTTGTACGTATTTTGCCGTCATACTATATAGGGGACTTGAAGAGGTAAATGCGAACTGGGATGTGCGTATTTTTTCACTGGAAAAATATTTCGGTCATTGGGACTGGAAATTACAAACAAATAGTGTTTCAAAAATTTAAATTTTAACGTGGCTCTGAACCCTACTTATGTACAGAATTTTTTTAAACTTTA